ATTCTGAAGCTTTGGGGTGAAAATGTTATGTAAATATCAATTAAATCCATCTGATCTAGTGTGCCATTTAGTCACTGTTTCTGTGTTGACTTTTTGTCTGGAAGATCTATCCAGTGAATTCTGTGGGGTGTTCCAGTCCATGACTATGACTATATTGATGTTGATCTCTCCTTTAAAGTCCTTAAGGTTATTATCAATAGGTCCTTATTTATTGCCATTTTAATTCTTTATGCCTAAGTTTTTCTCTCTATTTCTTCTTATTATTACAGCAGTCCCTTTAACCTTTTTTGCAATGCTTCTATTTCTACTTCTAATTACAGCAGCCCTTTTAACATTTCCTGCAGTGCTGGTTTGGTGGTGGTAAATTCCTTTCTGATTTTTCTGGGTTTGACTACAGAGTCTTCTGTGTGTTTTTTTGTTTGGGAAGCTCTTTATTTCACCGTCTATTTTGAATGATACCTTTGCTGGATAGAGGAGTCTTGGTTTCAGATCCTTGTTTTGCATTACCTTGAATACTTCATGCCATTCCCTTCTGGCCTGTAGAGTCTCTGATGAGAAGTCAGCTGACAGCCTTATGGGAGCTCCTTTGTAGGTAACAAATTGCTTTTCTCTTGCTGCCTTTAATATTCTCTCTTTGTATTGAATTCTTGGCATTTTAATTATGATGTTTCTGGGTGTGGGCCTCTTTGGCTTCTTCTTGCTTGGGACTCTCTGTGCCTCCTTGACTTGTGTGACTTTTTCCCTCACCAGGTTAGGGAAGGTTTCTGCCATTTTTTTCAAAACAGGTTCTTTTATCCTTGCTTACTTTCGACCTCTTCTGGCACTCCATTCAACAGTGACTCTGAAAAAAATATCACATGACTATAATATTATGAAAGCCTGTGGAATTGTTTCAAGCCAGTGTTTTTAAAATGATAGTCATTTGGATATAGTTTATGTAAAAATAATTTGAAACAGAAGAACTAGAAAGTCAACAGCAAGGTTAAAATCATTTTTGAAAAGAGTAACAGTCAAAATTAGTTTACAAGCAAAGAAAACAAGTTCATGGGTTAGAAAAGTAAGAAATGGTCTGATCTGGCCTGAGCAGAAGCCCTCTACCTAGGTTTTCATTTTGCTCCTTATCTTTGCAAAACATTTATCAATGGCTCGATCTTACATTTCAATCCAACAACATTTCCTAGTGTTCTGATTGTTTAACTAACTGAGACACTGCCCTTATTAAGGACTGAAATTTACATGGCAATCTTTGGGGAGTCAACCCCCATTACTTAAAGGGGCCGTGGCCTCAGATTGGTGCTGCTGAAACGCATGGCAAACTCAGTGGGTCTGGTTGAATTCTGCCCATTATGTTGCTATGGTGGCTTGTCCCACTGTTGCTGCCTTTGGAAATATTTCATTGTAGAATCTGAGTATAGAGCTTTCCAAGCTTTTATAGTTCTAGTAGCTGTCCCTTTTAATAGGTTTCAGTATTCCACTGCCTCTGCTGAAATGGGGCATCCAGGATATGACAGTGTTTCAAATGTGGCCTGCCCTGTAAAATGCATGTTGTACAGTCTCCTATTGACTTCCACATTCTGAGTATCACACTTACCTTAATATCACCTGAGTCAGCCTTGGTTTTTTGGTTGCCAACCTCCTCCCCCAAAAATACTTGGGGGTCAACTAAAGACCTTGGGTATTTTAGCCCATGAATTACAGCTAACTCAGGTGGTCTTTCTCATTCTGCAATATTATACTCGGTTTATGGAACATAATTGCAGTTTTCATGTACCTCTGTTAAAATTTATCTTATTGGTTTCAGACCAGTTTTACAAAATATTTTTGAATTTTGATTACTCATAGTTTAACATCACCTGCACTTTTTTTGTTGTTAATCCTTACCCAAGGATATATTTTCCATTGATTTTTTTTGGATTTGACAGAATCCTAGCCATCAGCCATAGTATGTATAAT